TTAATTAGCATTATCATGAAATGGAAAAATGTGCTTTACAGGAATCGTTCTTTAAATGCCCTTCGGTTGCTCGTGCACATTTATAATAACACTACTGTAAGTATAAGTATTATCATACTTAACACAGGCACTATATATATATATATATTTGTCTATTAAACATGGTAAATATATATCGAAGCGCTTAGAAGCTCCTTCAGGTCTTCAATCACAACTAAGCCCTGCATTTGAAGATTGTTTGAAAAGAATTGAAAAATATTTTTTAAACCAAGTTCTGTCTACTACTGTGGATTGTATTAAATGTGGAGTAGTAATCAATAGTGGTGAGGTTTTTGTTTATTAATTGAAATGTGTTGTGTTATTGTATTATTAGAGCAATTGCTTGTTTTTTTTTTTTAGAACGTGATCAGCTATTTATTATTTATTGGTGTGACTGGATCTTATCATATTTTAATGATGATGATGAGTTACTAAAATTGGCAAAGTTTTTATATGAATACTTGAGCACTTTAAAAGAAAAAGTTGAGATATTTGACAATCTGGAAACTGAAAAAGTTTGGATTTCACAATTGCTTTCGTCGAAAAAAAATAAAACTAAACAAACACCAACAAGAGCATCATGTCCTGCATGTCAGTCAAATATCCTTTATATTTTATTATACCTTTTATTAAAGAGGTTAATTCTACTAGTTATAAACTTCAAAGCTATTCTTAATTCAATTAATACATGTATCATTCATGCGAGGTCCAACAGGCAGATGTACCAAAGGGCATGTTTGGGGTAATATAGCGTGTGAATGAATGTCGTTTATTTTATTCATATTTTTTCTTTACTTCTTTTTTCCAATATTTTTTAGATCTTTGCTCTATAACTTTAAGCGTTGTGGCAGATAAGCACGCGAGATCCTGTAGTAATTGTAATCGTAAAATCTTGGCGGCATCAGATCCTTATAGGCAAGTGGATGAACAATCCATTGCGTCATCAGTAATTGTGAAAGCAATTATTGAAACTTGTGAAAAATGCTTTTACTGTGGAGGTAATTTTATATTTCGACAAACCTAGGCTAATAAAGTTGTTAAACCTATAAACCATTTTGACCATGCAATAATTTCACTACTATGTTTATTATTTTAATATATATGATGCTCTTGTAGTTATATAATAATATTATAAATCTATGAATGTAACAAGGTTTTAAATGTTAAAGATCAATTGAATATTGCAGAGTGAAAACCTGTTACCTGATCATAATAAATCATCAAATCTAATTACGGGTTTTTACAATGCAACACTCAACTTCGAATTAATCTTTAAATGTAAAATGCAATAATAATCGACGACGTTATATGTCTTTCCCATAATATTTAAATTTTATCGTATAGGATCCGAATTCGAAGCTTTTTATGAGATTAAATTCCGACATATTAAAAATTCAAAATACAGTCAAAACCTTTCTAAGTGCACACCCACACACTCAAATTCCGGCCCAAAGATACACTTGACCTCTATAAATGCACTTTTTCTTATTATTCTCTAAATGCACGTTGTTAAAGTGTGTCCCAAGGGTGTGCACTTAGAAAGGTCTGACTGTATTAACTTAACAGATTTTAATCGGCAGTACTCATACAATGACTGCGAATTATGCATTTTTTTTTATATTCGTAAATCGTATCATTTTTCACTAATGAGTGCCGCAAAGCGAAAACCCGTATTTCTGATTTTCGGAAATTTCATTTTACGGAGAGCTTATCAGATTTGATGAGCTCGTTTTGTAAATGAAATTTCGGAAAATCAGTTTCTGGTGCAATCACCGGTACTTTAATTACATTGCTGTTACGAATTTGTTCTGGCATTGCATCAGATTAGATATATACAGCTACCCCAAGATCACCTCCAACATATTAGTTTTAATATTGCATATTGTAATTATAAATTAAAGTTTATTTTATATATATACTACAGTCGCACCTCCCTAAGTGCATCCCGTCGGGACCATAGTGAAAAAAATTAAAATTTTGCACTTAGAGGAGGTTT